GATGCTGAAGTATTTATACTCAAAACCACATGTTTTGCAGCATAAGTGCTGTAACATACTGGTCCCACTTAAGGTATTATGGTCCTGCTTAATTCAGTGGCAAGCTTCCCACTTCAGTTTATGAGAACTGGCCAGCTGATGATTACCAGTGAGATAAAAAGTATGTCTTTGTCTCTTTTCTGTGGAAGACTAGCATGTGACAGAAGTGCTTTGCCAATGGAAAAGTCTGTCCAAGGTCAGCAGTTCTGTTGCTGAAAGGTCTAACACATCGGCCAGTAAGAAAATACTGCTGAAAACTACTTTGAGAAGCAAGTCATTCTGTATGTAGCTCAGGACTGTACAGCCTATGGCCTTGTTTACACTTTATAGAGTCTAAATCTAAATTGTAATATGTAGCTTTTGCTTCTAACTGTAAAAACAATACTAAAGTAAAACTATAGGCTGATTAATATACTATTAATAGTTATTAATAGCTATTATTTAGCAGTCCAAAATTGGACTGCTTTCTTTCCAAACACACACACACACGAAAAAACACAACATGCTTCCTGGGGAATTTCTCATCTGCCTTATGGCTCTATGAGAGGTAGTTAATCTTGGCTCACTAAGAAACACCAGTTAATGTCACAGGGCATTCTCAATTTGACTGTTAAAATGTTTTCCTTTATCAGAGCAACACTCTTCCCACAGCAAAGATCTTCAAGAAATGGAAAACCTAAAAGGATTTTTAGCGAGGAGAAGAAAAGATTATGTTTGTGCCACAGGAAAATGCCCCCAAAAAAGAAAACATAAGCAGAAGAAAACAGAAACCATGTTGTTGAAGGTTTTTAAGTTATACAGAAATAAAATAGTATAGAACCCTAGATGCACAAGAAATCTATGATTTTCTAGTTTTTGTGAAAATTTAATTATAAAGTTACATGAACAACCAGTTGAAGAACCATTGAAATAGCCTATCTCCTTTAATCTGAATATTCTGACTACCCTGATAATGACATGTTCCAGAAACACTAAAAGCTTCATATACCACTGTCATGTTTTTTCTTTTAACAAAAGTTTATTGTTTTCAAGTAGCCAGAACTTACAAATTTTATTCTGCAATCACCCCAACCTGTGTGCAAAACCCAGAAATGTAACACTTAAAATTAGTAAACCTTAATAAGCTACCATCATATTCAGCATCATCATTAGAACTATGCTTTTTATGAGGGTCACAGCTTTTGCAACAAAGAGCAATAGATTACTACAAAAAAGTTCACAAAAGCAGTATGGAGAAGCTTTCAAATGTTTGGGTGACTTTTAGCTGAGTTTGAAACTCTTTGGGTAAGAAACCTCACATTCTTGCCTGCTTTTTTTCAGCACCTCCTGATTTTACAGAAATACCTGCTTGCAAAAACACATGTTCCTGATTGCTAATTTGCTTAGTACTTTTGACAAAACAGTGAAAAGGTGTGGATCTTTGTAAAAATTGTTTAATGACACCACATGGAACTCAAGACAGTCCCCTGAACAGAGAAAAGCAGGATAACTCAAGATTCCCAGAAATATCTGCTGTTATTTTCTAAAAAAATTTTAGTGACCTTGAGCTGACTTAAGATTTTGCATTGAAGAAACCATAAAATGTGCAAAGTGAAAGGAAAACCAAAAGCAACTAACTTGCACTCCTTGCAACAAGAAAAATGTTGCTTACAAGCAGCTCTGATGGCTACAGCTGGACTATGACAGAACAGGGACCTGAAACTTCAGTTTTGCAAAGCACTCAACTACATGCTTAAGGAATGGCTGCTGGGTTGTTTTTCTTGTTCCTGCTGCAGCAGCATAAGGATTAGTTTAAGAATTTTTTATTATTATTTTTAAAGTTCAAGACTTCTACTTATTACCATAACTATAGAGAAACCAGTAAATACCAGATCTGAGTTTTCAATATTCCCAGCTCTACCAGTGCTATGTACTCCATAAAAATGTGCATGTCTAAATTTTGAATGCTGTTGTATCAGAGAGAAATTTGTGACCACCAATATGCCAAAAAACAACCTCCCAATTACCATTTCACTTGTCCAATAAATTGCTTGAAAAACCTGTCTCTAGTTTCAGTTTTCTGATCTGTTAGAACACGTTCATTCCTTTCCTGGTGCAACTCACCTGTCTCACTAAACCAAGTTTACTGTGTAATGGTGCAAGCAGAGGCTGGAGTCCTTCTAGCTTGAACTACAGCCTCAAGAATTCTGAACTGGGGAGGGAGCTGGCAAATTTAGCAGACTAAATCCATATCAGCAGCTTTAAAATGAAACATATGAAATGGATTAGAAAAAAAAAAAAAAGAAAGAAAGAAAGAAAAGATGATAGCATAAACCAAGAGCTCAGGGGATAAGGAGATAAAGAGTAGCATGGGAAAGAAAAACTTTGCCACTTTCCCATACATGCCAATAGCCTGGTTATTTTTAAGCAAAAAATGTTACTCTTTTTCTGTCCTTCCCATTCCAAAAATATTCAAGTGGCTCAGGACATTTTAACATAGTTAAGGGAATTTTTCTGCCAGCTGTTTTCAGATGCTGGCATATAAATCTGACAGAGAAATTACATTCAACTCTATGATTTTACGTATTAATAATGTGGCTACTTCCACTGTCCTGCCAAGTAAGCTGCATTCTCACCCATTTTCTACTGAATGTACAAGTATCTATGAAAGCTCTTTAGATAGAATTAATTGGGTTTTTTTCATCATCAGATGAGTTAATGTTGATGGATGCTGTACAAACTGTTCACATGAAAAAATGAATGCTAGTGTATATAGGTGTATAATGTATAAAAAATACATCTGTATGAAACCAGGACAAATTAGAAATGGTAAGATCACCCTACAAGAGGTTCAGAACATTTGGTTTTCTTGGACTCCAGGTAGCTTACATTATATCTTTGCTTTTTTGGTCACTTTTTTGGTAAAATTATGGAGCTCACATTATGGTTCAGACTGTTCCCCATAATAAACTCCCATCTACAGGCAAATGTTTCTGTAGAACTAGTTACAGCTCCAGTAGGAATTAAGGAGAAGAAAGCAAAAAAGAGGAGAGAAGCAATTCAATAACAAGCACTTTCCTTTCTTCCACTTGAGCAGTAGCAGAGATGCTTACCAGTCAGAAGTGAGAAAAAGCAGCTGTCAAACAAGAGCATTGGGATTTGAAACTCCCAGTACATCTAGACAGTTCTAGTAATAATTACATCAAGCTAGCAAGAAAGGCCTCATGTAGCTCCATTTTTATTATTTGCTATGTTAACTTTTAAGACAGATCCAAGGATGGGCTGACAGGTGAAGAGAAATTAAAGGGCAAGAGGCAGGTTTTACAAATCTTAACTGGCTCTCCAGTCAACTCAGCAGAATTGGCTCCAAA